ACCACCACCCACCTACCACCACCACCACACCACCACCACCACCAACCCAAACCACCCGACCACCTACCTCCACCACCTCCAACCAACCACCACCACTACCACCACCACCACCACCACCACCACCAACCAAACCACCAACCACACAAAACCCACCACACCCCCACCACACCACCAACCAACACCACCACCACACCACCACCACCTCACACCACCACCCACTCAACACCACCACCCACCAACCACCACCAACACAACACCAACCACCCACCACCACCACCACCCCCACCAACCACACCACCACCACCACCAACCCACCACCCCCACCCACCAACCCAACACAAACCGCAGACACCCCACACAACCCCACCACCACCCCACCTCCCACCCCCACACCACCCACCACCCACCACCCCACCACCCCACCACCCACCACCCACCCCCCCACCACACACCACCCACCACCACCACCCTCCACCCCCACCACCCACCAACCCACCACCCTCCCACCACCCTCCACCCACCACACCCACCACCCACCACCCACACACACCCACCCCTCCAACCACCCACCATACCCACCACCCCACCACCCCCCACCCCCCACCACACAACACACCACCCCACCACCTCGACCACCACCCACCACCCACCACCCCAACCACACACCACAACCCACCTCCCCACCACCCCCACAACCCACCACCCACCACCCACCACCCACCACCCACCACCAACACCCACCCACCAACCCACCCCACCTCACCCACCGCACCCACCCCCCAACCCACCACCAACCCACCCACTTCCTCCACACCCACCACCTGCAGGGATCAGGATTAGCTGGTGTGCGGGATGCGGGTGTGCACGAGGTCCCGCGAGAGCGCCCGAAGCGATATGTACACCACAGGCACCACCTCTGACCACCCCGTGCCTCCATCCTCCAGGTGGTGGTGGTGGTGGTGGTGGTGGTGGTGGTGGTGGTGAGCTTCCTTCTCCCTGGGATGCCGCCACGGTCGCCCCCCCCCGCTGAGAAGCGGGGGCCCTCAACCGCGGTGCGGCGACAGCGCCCAGTGTGAGTCGGCGGGGCTGCGGGCCGGCCGCGCGGCTCCGGGGGATGGAGCCGTGCTCTCCGAGGAACGTCTCGGGCGGCCGGGGGGCGCCTGAGGTCCCCATCACCGTGAGGGGGGCCGGCCGTGCGGTGGGTCGTTTCGAGACTTCGAGGGCACCGTACGGGGCGTCACCACATCGTCTGGGGCCTCCCAAAAATACCGAACTCGCCCCCCCGTCCTCGCGCCTTGGTGTTCAGGACGCCCCCTTGGCCAGGGCGCCCGTGGTGCTCCACACACCCCCTTGGCCGACCAGCGAGTGCATGTCGCGATCATGGTGAGGACGACGAGGGGGGTGGCAAGGGCGACGACGACGCTATTTGTGATCGCCGTGGTAATGTTTGGGAAGTGTTGATTCGAGCTAAGAGTGAAGCTTTGACCACACACCTCTAGAATGAAATCATTGCGCTGGCTGGGGCATGGAGTTGATGCCAGCTGAAGTGCGGGTATCAGTGAGTGACATGTTCGTCAATGGTAGGTAGTGTGTGTGTGTGTTTGACGGAATATGAGAAAACCAGACACGATCGATAATTACTAATGTTCTCCATGACCATTGGGGCCGATAGCGGGGCGGTATTGGCAATCATAACAATGAGGCGATGACAACTAACTTGCACGGCGACGGCCATGACTATGACGATGATTGTCATGATGATGCTGATGATGATTCTGATGATAGTCATGATGCTGCTGATGATGACGACGATGATGAGGATGAGGATGACGATGATGATGATTCTGATGATGAATATGATGCTGATGACGACGATCATGACGATGCTGATGATGATGATGATGATGATGGTGGTGGTGATGATGATGATGATGGTGATGATTATGATTATGATGATGATGCTGATGATGATGATTGTGGTGATGATGAAGATGATGATGATGATGATGATGATGATGATGATGATGATGATGATGATGATGATGATGATGATGGTGGTGGTGGTGGTGGTGGCGATGATGATGATGATGATGATGATGATGATGATGATGATGATGATGATGAAGATGATGGTTTGCGAACGGCGAGACGTCAAACACGAGACTGATTTTGGTACGAGCCTGTATGAAGACTGAAATAACAAGTCTGCTCTAATTCACCAGACCCCTCGCATGTTTCGATTGTTCGAGGCCAGCCTCACGAATCATACCCCTGCACTCCCGACAGACTCTTTACAGAACCGGACCCAGGGGACAACTATGAAGGGAGCCAGAGTACTTGGTTTCCTTTTTTGCGCTGTAGATGTGCTTCATCGACTGCTTGTTCTGATTGCTTGCCTAGAGCACCCTTGCGTTTTTTTTTGGAATTGTGGTGGCCGCTTGCTTGATGCCTCGATCGCGGTTGCTGGCTCGCTCACTCGCTCCCTCGCTTGCCCACGCGT